TCTCACAACGCGCTTCCAACCATCTTTCTTAGGATCAATCATAGCTTCACAAATGTTCAAATTCCTCCAGAATCATACTCCACCAAATAATCCATCCTCCACAGTTTACCCCGGAAAAACATGCTCGTACCGATCCAGCCAACACAGAAAACGCACATGAAATTCTGTTAACCCCAAACTACAACAAACAGCAAGTGGCTTGATTTCACCTCTACCTTGTCGCCTAAAAAACTACCCCCGAATAGCCCTAAGCCCTAAAAATTACCCCGAATAGCCCTAAGCAGGACTACGGGGTAGGGGTTTTTACGGGCTCACCATAGCCCGTACTACATCATCTGGGTATCATCTGGTATCATCATCAGGTATCAGGTATCATCTGGGAGGGGAAATCCTGCAAGAGTCAAATAGAGAGAAGGATCTGGGGGTTGATATCACACCGAACTTAGTACCCAGATGAGCCACAGAGACGTTAGAAAGAATTTTTTCAGTGTCAGAGTAGTTAATAAATGGAATGCACTAGGAAGTGATGTGGTGGAGGCTGACTCCATACACAGTTTCAAATGTAGATATGATAGAGCCCAGTAGGCTCAGGAATCTGTACACCTGTTGATTGACAGTTGAGAGGCGGGACCAAAGAGCCAAAGCTCAACCCCCGCAAGCACAATTAGGTGAGTACATAGACATTTCGTTCTGAGTAGCTAAATGTAAAACAACAAGACTCTCAGACTCTCTAACACTCCTCAGACAGCCACACAATTAGCACACCCATGCACTCAGAGAGGCCTACGGCTTTCTAAAAAATCTACATCGCCTACATCAGCATCATCATTTGAGGGTCCCCGTAGTACAGTCGGTTTTTTTTTTGCACGGATATTCATACGCCCCCCCCCTAAACCTCTGCCTGGCCCACTGTTACTTTTTTCTTGTTTCTGTTTTACTTAGGAGCTAGATGTATGAGTATTTATGTTTGCTCCAGTAAGATTATGCCCAATGTGTTTAAAAAAAATTTTTGCTCTGTTCAATTTTAGTTGAATTTTTTTTTTTTTTGGTTTGTAACTCTACACTGTGTTAAATAATGTGTCAGTGGTCTGTCGGGCATTTCTCCATAATGCTGACATTTCCTCTCATCTTCGGTTCGTTATCGACTCACAATCCAGAATTCCGGGTTCGAATCCCGGGCGGGACATAAATGGTTGGGCGCATTTCTTATCACCTATAATGCCCTGTTCACCTAGCAGTAAACAGGTGCCCAGGAGTTAGTCAGCTTGTTATGGGGTTGCATCCTGGGGGAGGGTCAGTAATTCGACCTTGGGGGAGGAGGGTGTGAATCTCGATATAAGCCTAACGTCTATGAATACACTCTGGCTGCCTGTCCCCCGACCCAATGAATTATTATCATCATCATCATCTAAGTCCTTTCTTTCAAAGGACAGGCCTTACACAAAATCAGTCCTTTCACAAAATTTACATTTCCCATCACACATAAACAAACAAACAACAAACTCATAAGCAAACAGGGCATTTTTTTTAAATTATACAGTTTAATATGAGACATACTTTACCATTGGGCACTTGTGGGATATTTTATTGACACCGAGAGACCTAAACAGCGCCTATCTTGAGGTTATCTTGAGATGATTTCGGGGCTTTTTAGTGTCCCCGCGGCCCGGTCCTCGACCAGGCCTCCACCCCCAGGAAGCAGCCCGTGACAGCTGACTAACTCCCAGGTACCTATTTACTGCTAGGTAACAGGGGCATTCAGGGTGAAAGAAACTTTGCCCATTTGTTTCTGCCTCGTGCGGGAATCGAACCCGCGCCACAGAATTACGAGTCCTGGGCGCTATCCATGTGACGTCCATATGTGACGTCGCCTACGTCACAAACTCACATACAATCAGATTTCAATCAGACATTATGGCTACACCTCATACCAATCACTTGATTGGATTGTAATGCCTTTATTTAATGCCTACCAAACAAAATCCACACTTAAATATTAACATTTACAAGCACCTTGGTATCACCAGCTCTTCATGGGCACTGAGTGTTTGTGATATGACACAGGATAACTAATGAATGAATTACCAGCAAGACGGCCGGGTATTTCAACGTGTCCTCAGGCTAGGCTCGCCCAAGCGGCGGCTGAGTCCAAGGACGTATTCATCAATGTTAACACACTGCGTATCTAAAAATTATATTTTCTGAAACATATGGTAATATTATTCCGTACTAGAATGTGATGAATAGTTAGGCCTGACTTAGGTGATTAGGTTCTGTTGGCAATTATTGGTATTTTCAGTACGTACATGAAGGATTTATTGAGGTTTGATTCGAACACAAGGCAGAAAGCGAACACTGTTCGAGAAAGATTCGAATGTAATCTTTTGTGTGTGAAGTGTTTTTGAATGATAAAAAAATGATTGATGATATTGAATGATTGAATGATTGAAAAAAATGATACAAAATTGCTGATGCGTCCTTGGGGTCGGCCGCCGCCTGGACGACCCTAGCCTGAAGACAGGTAACATAAACAGGTTCGTCGGCTAGATTAATAATTAATTGTGTCGGGAAGAGGCAGCTTGCGTGTGTGTATATATATATATATACGTTAGAGATATATGGAGGTTCCCCCCAAGGTCGAACTACTGAGCTTCCGCAGGATGCAACCCCCACAACAGTCGTCTAACTCCCGTTTACTGCTGGGTGAACAGGGGCATTACGTGATGGGGGGGGGAAACGACCCCAAACTTTTTTCTATTCCGTCCAGGATTCAAACCCGGGATTCCCGACTACGAGTCGAGAAGGAACCCGATAGTACTACCGAGACGAGCCTTTGACATTTTTAGGAAGATTTTCATGAGGATGTTTTGATGATGAACTGCAAGGTCAAAGACTGGACCAGCCATAGCCATGATTCTGAAAGTTCTCAACATTCTTAAATCAAGTCATCTAACATTTGATAGTAAGAGTAACTTGGTCTTAGATACAAACAGATGCAGTCCTCATTGATAATAGTGAAGGGACGACGACGTTTCGGTCCGTCCTGGACCATTCTCAAATCGATTCTCAAGTCACACAATCGACTTGAGAATGGTCCAGGACGGACCGAAACGTCGCCCTCCCTTCACTTTCTAGTGTGTGGTTTGGTCAACATATTTCAGCCACGTTATTGTGACTCCTCGTCTGCACATTAATAAAAGGTCTGCATAGACCTCCTGCATCATTTGCCTGGAGGAGAAGCTCCTTGTCCCACGGAGAGGAGGAGGAGGGTCGCCGGTGTTGCTGCGCGCCACTTACCCTCTCCTGGAGAGATGGCGGTAGCGGTGCCGTGATCTACATACACAACCTCTCCTCTGCACGAAGGGGTACAAATATAGGCGCCCTCCCTCCTGTGTACGAATGAGTGAAACATACCTGTAAACAGCGAGTTAAAATTAAAACGCACCAGGAACAACCACCATGGTAACTCTCTCTTGTTATATTGGTGCGACCTGACCTGTGAACGGGTTGGTTCATGGTGTGTGGCGCAGGAGGAGGAGGAGGGATCGAGCAGGTGTAAGAAACAAGGAGGAGAAAATAGAATGGGAGAGAAGGAAGAGGAGGGAAGAGGACGAAGATGAGGGAGGTGGAAGAATTAAAAGTTAGAAAGGGAAAGAAAATGAAGAGGAGGGAGGAGGAGGAGAAAAGAGGTACCAGTGGCACAAGCAGAGAACACTGTCTGAACATCAGAGGTCCACGGCTGTTCAATACTCTCCAAGCAAGTATTAGAAATATTGCCGGAACAAAGGTGGACTTTTTCCAGAACCAGTTAGATAAATTTTTGCAAGAAGTACCGGACCAACTAGGCTGTAGTGGATATGGGGGCCTGCGGGCCGCTCCGAGCAACAGTCTGTTAGACAAGTTGTCACAAGTCGAGCCTGGCCTCAGGCCGGGCTCGGGGAGTAGGCGAACTCCCTTGACCTTCTACAGGTAAGATCCAGGTAAGAGGTAGAATAAGAAATATTGAAAAAGGAAAGAAGAAAAGGTAAGAAGACGAAGAAGCTAGAAGGAATAGAAGAGAGAGAGAGAGGACGAGAAAGCAGAGAGAGAGGGGACGAGAAAGAAGAGAAAGAGGACGAGGAAAAAGATAAAGATAAGCATTATTATTATTATTATTAGTAGTAGTAGTAGTAGTATTATATACGTAAAACTGTGGAGGTGTGAGAGGAGACTTGGCACCATCGCGGTTGTGCAGAGGCAAGACTTGACACCAGTGTGAGAGCGGGGCGAGGGTCATGGCCACCTCACAGGAGTGGCTCACCGCTGCCACTCTCCCACATAAATGTCCCCCTCTCCTCACTAATAAAGCATCACACACTCTCTAACACACTCAAACCCCAGTAACACGTTCCCCTAAACGATTAACTCCGGTCCAGATCTCCAAGAGGTTGAGAACCTCAGAGAAAACGGGAACTTGGTTCTGGGTTGTAAGCGACGGTCGGCAACTGCAATGAATGGAGGGTTGGGCAGGGGAGGGCTGGCTGTTGAATGGCGCAGTGTGGGAAAGTTGCAGCCCGCCTCCTCCATGGGGCTCAATGAATTCAAGAGGGACGTATACGCTGTGTGATGACCACAAATTATATGGCAAGGGTCAAGACGTGAGGGATCGCCGCTGGAGACACCAACCAGCAGCAGCAGCAGCGGGCTACCGAGGCGAGACGCTCAGGTTAATGCTATTTGGCAGGTACGCCAGAGGTACCCAGCGTACCTCACCTTATAGAGGTACAGGTTAATGCTTTGCAACTGCGACGCTCAACCTTACGATGGGGAGGGGAACATGAGGGTACATCACAAGCTCCTGCTGGGACAGAAGTAAATCTCTGCTTAATACGAACAATTAAAAACAATAAAACAAAAATAATGCAAGAACAATGGTTCAGTGAACAAATACTTTCCTGGGCGAATTTTTTGTTTGGCCGACAAGTCCGTCTCAAGAATGATCAATGTGGTTTACAGTCACCATGTCCATCAGTATCAGAAAGGTCTTAAGTCCCTCAGTATCAGTCAGGCACCAAGTCCCTCAGTATCAGTCAGGCACCAAGTCCCTCAGTATCAGTCAGGCACCAAGTCCCTCAGTATCAGTCAGGCACCAAGTCCCTCAGTATCAGTCAGGCACCAAGTCCCTCAGTATCAGTCAGGCACCAAGTCCCTCAGTATCAGTCAGGCACCAAGTCCCTCAGTATCAGTCAGGCACCAAGTCCCTCAGTATCAGTCAGGCACCAAGTCCCTCAGTATCAGTCAGGCACCAAGTCCCTCAGTATCAGTCAGGCACCAAGTCCCTCAGTATCAGTCAGGCACCAAGTCCCTCAGTATCAGTCAGGCACCAAGTCCCTCAGTATCAGTCAGGCACCAAGTCCCTCAGCATCAGTCAGGCACCAAGTCCCTCAGTATCAGTCAGGCACCAAGTCCCTCAGTATCAGTCAGGCACCAAGTCCCTCAGTATCAGTCAGGCACCAAGTCCCTCAGTATCAGTCAGGCACCAAGTCCCTCAGTATCAGTCAGGCACCAAGTCCCTCAGTATCAGTCAGGCACCAAGTCCCTCAGTATCAGTCAGGCACCAAGTCCCTCAGTATCAGTCAGGCACCAAGTCCCTCAGTATCAGTCAGGCACCAAGTCCCTCAGTATCAGTCAGGCACCAAGTCCCTCAGTATCAGTCAGGCACCAAGTCCATCAGTATCAGTCAGGCACCAAGTCCCTCAGTATCAGTCAGGCACCAAGTCCCTCAGTATCAGTCAGGCACCAAGTCCCTCAGCATCAGTCAGGCACCAAGTCCCTCAGTATCAGTCAGGCACCAAGTCCCTCAGTATCAGTCAGGCACCAAGTCCCTCAGTATCATTTTAGCTTCGTGCTTATCACCATCTCACCAAGTCCGTCCCATCTCACCAATCTCTAAATGCAAGACCATCTGAGAGAATTATTCCAAGATCGTTGACTTAGTCATTCTTTTCAACACAGGACCCGACATTGGTTGCCCAATTTGATCGTGAAAACGCAATTCGTTGGCACAGCTGAGGTGTAGAGGCTACAGAGGTCCCAAGCAGCCAGCGGTGTGCATAGGCTACAAAGGTCCCAAGCAGCCAGCGGTGTGCATAGGCTACAAAGGCTACTGTATATTCAATACATTACCCATGGGGGAAGAGAGGGTATGCGGCACGATATGAATAAACTGTAAAGAGGAGGATTACGGGCTCACCATAGCCCGTGCTACATGGACACTTCGTTCTGAGTAGCTAAACATAAAACAACAAAAAAACATGTAAAGAGGAGGAATTCAAGTCGTCTTCTCCAGTAGTACGTCACATTTTGACCTATGAATCCCCCTTAAGCCGAAAAATTGATGTACTAAAAATCATAGCAAGTTGGTCAATTGACGTGTGATGTCCCGTTTTCCATGCGTGTGTCCTCGGTTAGGTTAGGTTCGGGTAACTTAAAGTCAATCGGTTTAGTGAATGCTTGAGAGGACGGGATACGTCATTCAAAGAAAATACGTCATTCAAAGAAAATACGTCATTCAAAGAAAATAAGTCATTCAAAGAAAATACGTCATTCAAAGAAAATACGTCATTCAAAGAAAATACGTCATTCAAAGAAAATACGTCATTCAAAGAAAATGCGTCATTCAAAGAAAATACGTCATTCAAAGAAAATACGTCATTCAAAGAAAATACGTCATTCAAAGAAAATACGTAATTCAAAGAAAATACGTCATTCAAAGAAAATACGCCATTCAAAGAAAATACGTCATTCAAAGAAAATACGTCATTCAATACGTCATTCAAAGAAAATACGTCATTCAATACGTCATTCAAAGAAAAATATGGCGTCACTTGGTAACCCATGTCCAGACAGGGCTTTGTTTGAGTTGGTTTGTGGTGTCCTGGTTTGTGTGAGGCTTTGTTAGTGAGTGTTGGGAGTACATAGGTGCCTGTTGTGGTCCAAGCAGTGTGCATCGTTTAAGTTTAACGTTTTGCCTCGAGGGACGAGTTTATTGGGCAGCGCCACTCATCTTGTGAGTGGACACACCGCCAGAGTGACAATATTGGGCAGCGCTACTCATCCTGTGAGTGGACACACCGCCATAGTGACAGTATTGGGCAGCGCCACTCATCTTGTGAGTGGACACACCGCCATAGTGACAGTATTGGGCAGCGCCACTCATCTTGTGAGTGGACACACCGCCATAGTGACAGTATTGGGCAGCGCTACTCATCCTGTGAGTGGACACACCGCCATAGTGACAGTATTGGGCAGCGCTACTCATCCTGTGAGTGGACACACCGCCATAGTGACAGTATTGGGCAGCGCCACTCATCTTGTGAGTGGACACACCGCCAGAGTGACAATATTGGGCAGCGCTACTCATCCTGTGAGTGGACACACCGCCATAGTGACAGTATTGGGCAGCGTCACTCATCCAGTGAGTGGACACACCGCCATAGTGACAGTATTGGGCAGCGTCACTCATCCTGTGAGTGGACACACCGCCATAGTGACAGTATTGGGCAGCGTCACTCATCCTGTGAGTGGACACACCGCCATAGTGACAGTATTGGGCAGCGTCACTCATCTTGTGAGTGGACACACCGCCATAGTGACAGTATTGGGCAGCGCCACTCATCTTGTGAGTGGACACACCGCCATAGTGACAGTATTGGGCAGCGTCACTCATCCTGTGAGTGGACACACCGCCATAGTGACAGTATTGGGCAGCGTCACTCATCCTGTGAGTGGACACACCGCCATAGTGACAGTATTGGGCAGCGCTACTCATCCTGTGAGTGGACACACCGCCATAGTGACAGTATTGGGCAGCGTCACTCATCCTGTGAGTGGACACACCGCCATAGTGACAGTATTGGGCAGCGCCACTCATCCTGTGAGTGGACACACCGCCATAGTGACAGTATTGGGCAGCGCCACTCATCCTATGAGTGGACACACCGCCATAGTGACAGTATTGGGCAGCGCCACTCATCCTGTGAGTGGACACACCGCCATAGTGACAGTATTGGGCAGCGTCACTCATCCTGTGAGTGGACACACCGCCATAGTGACAGTATTGGGCAGCGCTACTCATCCTGTGTGTGGACACACCGCCATAGTGACAGTATTGGGCAGCGTCACTCATCCTGTGAGTGGACACACCGCCATAGTGACAGTATTGGGCAGCGCCACTCATCCTGTGAGTGGACACACCGCCATAGTGACAGTATTGGGCAGCGTCACTCATCCTGTGAGTGGACACATCGCCATAGTGACAGTATTGGGCAGCGCCACTCATCCTGTGAGTGGACACACCGCCATAGTGACAGTATTGGGCAGCGCCACTCATCCTGTGAGTGGACACACCGCCATAGTGACAGTATTGGGCAGCGCCACTCATCCTGTGAGTGGACACACCACCATAGTGACAGTATTGGGCAGCGTCACTCATCTTGTGAGTGGACACACCGCCATAGTGACAGTATTGGGCAGCGTCACTCATCCTGTGAGTGAACACACCGCCATAGTGACAGTATTGGGCAGCGCTACTCATCCTGTGAGTGAACACACCGCCATAGTGACAGTATTGGGCAGTGCTACTCATCCTGTGAGTGAACACACCGCCATAGTGACGGTATTGGGCAGCGCCACTCATCCTGTGAGTGGACACACCGCCATAGTGACGGTATTGGACAGCGCCACTCATCCTGTGAGTGGATACACTGCCATAGTGACAGTATTGGGCAGCGCCACTCATCCTGTGAGTGGACACACCGCCATAGTGATAGTATTGGGCAGCGTCACTCATCTTGTGAGTGGACACACCGCCATAGTGACAGTATTGGGCAGCGCCACTCATCCTGTGAGTGGACACACCGCCATAGTGACAGTATTGGGCAGCGCCACTCATCCTGTGAGTGGACACACCGCCATAGTGACAGTATTGGGCAGCGCCACTCATCCTGTGAGTGGACACACCGCCATAGTGACAGTATTGGGCAGCGCCACTCATCCTGTGAGTGGACACACCGCCATAGTGACAGTATTGGGCAGCGTCACTCATCCTGTGAGTGAACACACCGCCATAGTGACAGTATTGGGCAGCGCCACTCATCCTGTGAGTGGACACACCGCCATAGTGACAGTATTGAGCAGCGCCACTCATCCTGTGAGTGGACACACCGCCATAGCAGCATGGACAACACTCCCCAATAGGAAGAAAACCCGCTGGGTTGTATATCCTGTAGTAAACAGGATGAACAACCCAGCGGGTTTTCTTCCTATTGGGGAGTGTTGCACATGCTGTTATGGCGGTGCGTATATTGTGTTTATGGGTTTGTTGTGTAGTATTGATGAGTGTGACGTGGGTGTCGTAGTGTACCATTCTGCTGTGTATTTGTTAGACAGCTGCTACGGGCTGCTGCCTGGGAGGTGTGTAAGAAAAAGGAGGCTTAGTCAAGGACCGGGCCGCGGGGATACTAAAAGCCCCGAAATCATCTCAAGATAACGTCTGGAGCGATACATACCCCGCAGGGTGCCTGGATCTGGACTTGTTCAAACATAGTTTGGTTGGTCTTCACTGCTTGAAAAGTTGTTCGTGGTGCATTTGTGGCGAGTGACATGGTGTTAGGATACTACGGTGCAACTGTGGGAACCTTTGGCCTTGGAGAAAAGAATACGAGGCATTCAGATAAAATTTTGAATTATTCTTGAATATTTCGTATAGCACTTTCTTTTAACACTTTTTATTAGGATTTATTTAAAGTATAGCTTACAAAATGCATACAAACATGTCAGTCACCATTCAAAAACCTCTTCCAGCTTCTCAGACATGGAGTGACCACGATACAGCAAGCATTTCCTCTCTGAATCGCAACGCTGAGGCGCTGGAACAGGAAATTGGCTGCTCTTGGGTTTCTGGATTTCCTAACGAGTTCGTCTCTTTACTTATTGATTTTCGGGGTCTCCATTAAGGTGGCAGCCCCACCACCCGCTGAGATTAGTGTTAGACGATGTAGATGCACACGTGTAAACACAACCTGTTTACCAACCTGTTTACCTGAGAGGGAGCTGGTTGCCTGAGCGGACAGCACGCTGGACTTGTGATCCTGTGGTCCAGGGTTCGATCCCAGGCGCCGGCGAGAAACAATGGGCAGAGTTTCTTTCACCCTATGCCTCTGTTACCTAGCAGTAAAATAGGTACCTGGGTGTTAGTCAGCTGTCACGGGCTGCTTCCTGGGGGTGGAGGCCTGGTCGATGACCGGGCCGCGGGGACACTAAAGCCCCGAAATCACCTCAAGATAACCTCAAGATCTCAAGATAACCATTCCTCCATGGTTACAGGGTGGCTCCATCTAGGCACTTGTGACCGTTGGCAGGTCAGCACATTTGAGGTTCTATTTGTGTTGGACACTTTACTAGCCAAATTTCTGTTAATAATGTCATCCATTGCTTCATGTCTAGCAATCTTTGCTTCAAACATACGACAGCTGAAATCATGGTACATGGCCGTATTGATCTGTCGATGCATTTCTGCATATATACGTGTGTTCAGCAGAGACAAGGGTGACAAGGCGAAGGGAAACATCAATACTAAGTGCCGAGCAGTTCAAGAGGAATTTGAAATAGCAAACAGGAGATCCCCAGCATGAGGAGCCTGCTCTCTCTCTCTCTCTCTCTCACCGTAAAAAATGCTGTGGTTTATAGTAACCAAAATCGTCAGAGCCTAGGCTACCCACCTACCTTACTAGAGTCAATAATCAGTAAATCCCACGGAGCGTCGATATTGCAGTAATTTTAATTTCCCTTAACCACCGCATTTTTTCCCACCGAGGTCGATTGCATAAAAAAAATGTAGAGCGTTCAGTAAGCGGACAGGTTGGCATGAGGGGCTTGCACAGTGAGAAGGCTTGCTTTCTCTTCCCGA